AATTAAAAGTAACAATAATCAATCATTTATTTTATTTTGTTCAGGCCAGGCCAGCTTGTTGGAAAAGCCAACTTTTTAGGGCACGTTGGAAGGACCGGAGGTCGGAGATTATGTGAGGGCAGCTCATTCCAGAGGGAAGGCGCTCCCAGAGAAGGCTCTCCCCCTGAGGGTTGCTAGCCAACAGTCTGGCCGACGGCACCCTGAGGAGGCCAACTCTGTGGGATCGCACTGGATGGTGGGAGGCTACCGGTGGCAGTATTTTTTTGCTATTATTGGTAGTGCTGTTGGTAGTATTTATTTTCATATACTAAATGTTTGGAGGGCAAAGAAAAAGCTAAAAATTTATAAGGAGGTTGGTGAGCTGAACAGTTTGGGAAGTTTTGATTGATGCTATATTTGCAAAGGCAATATACGTGCTTCCATTGTCCTGAAGCTCCCTCTGCCAAAACTTTACATGTATATTCTAATATAAAAGCAGGAAATTTAAGGAAAGTATCAGCTTAACATTAACTCCTTCTTTTTACCTTGAAATGGTTCCTTTCCAAAGTTAAACAATACAACACCAACATTTCCCCTGTAGTCCTCATCAATTACTCCAGCTGTTAAAAAAAAAGAATGCAAGTATAGATGTTCCACTGTATATTTGAGTTCACTTGCAGAGACTGACTGACTGACTAAGTGTGTGTGTGTGTGTGTGTAGAGCCTTAGTCTTAGTAGAGGCTTAGTCTTATTAGCTCAGGAGCTCAGTAACAAATAAATCAGTGTGAGGATTCCTTAAAAATAAGAAGTTTGAAAATGTTTGTTTCCAAACATTGTTTAATTGAAATAAATATATGCAGTGGATAAATGTATCTAGCCAACTGCTAACATAAAGTTCTGCAGAGCTTAGTTCACGGTCAATTGCTTTAACAGATGTGCTTTAATTAACTTGATAATAAATTATTGCAAAGAACATATGTTCCTTCGTTTAGCTTCACTAAAATTAGAGGGAGCTTATTTATATAATAAAGAAAACTCACTCACATTTCATCTTTCAATACTTCTATTCTCAGAGCGTAAGTACCGTACTGCTATCTTATAAAATATGTAAATTAATGTAAATAAGCAAAACCTCATTTTGGAGCCTGACAATTTATTTTACTAAGGACATTTTTTTTCTCAATTAAGAATAATGTAATATGCATTTTATGCTGCAGCAGCTAAATGCATGTAGTGATATAATTGCATTCAGAAACAATTACTCACCACCGACATCAATGAAATGATTTACAGCTAATCCAGATCGAGGAGCTTAAATCAAAAGGAAAAAAAATTGTTAATTATGACCCACTTTCTAATTTTCACCAATAAAGGTTTAGCAAACCTATAAGATTACTATTTTTCTGTTTAACAACTTACCTACTCGACCATAGCAACCTGTAGGAAGGGCAACCTGAATATCTGTTTTCACAACAGCTTTCCCTACAGCAGGGACCTCACAATCATATGCACTACCAAACAAACAAAAAACAAACAAACAAACAAANGGGGGCGCTGTGCATGCAAAAAACGCATATAACCCGCGGGTTATATGGGTGAAAATACGGTAGTTTGAAGAACCAGCAAATACCACCTCTGGCTGGCCCCACCCCCATCTATCCTCTGCCTCCTGAGTCCCAGCTGATCGGGAGGGAATGGAGATTTTGCAGTATCCTTTCCCCTGCCACATCATGCCCACCAAGCCACACCCACAGAACCGGTAGTAAAAAAAATTGAATCCCACCACTGGACTACTTGTGCAGATTTCGGGAAGCATAAGCTACAGGGCAATTAAGAAATATTGCCTTCTTTTCTAAGTTAAGTGTTCCTCATCCTTGGCAGCTTGAACATGGGTGGAGTTCACCTCCCAGAATGCTGGCTGGGGAATTTTGGAAGTTGAAATTCACTCATCTAAACTGCCAGGATTTGAGAAATGCTGCTCTAAAGGTTTGAAGTAAAGTTTCTGCCAAATAAAAAGCTCTCTCCAAGTAAAGGAGTTTCTTGTGTTATTAAAACGAATAATCTCGATCAAAGTTATTGCTTTAAAACGATTATGCGTAAAATTTGGTTTGAAAGCGCATGTGATATAAACCATGGATATTATGGATCCCCCCCCCCTTGGCGGTAATCTATCTGCCCTGTCTTCTCTCTCAAATAGCTCCTTTACAGTGTCAAAGGTAACTAAAAGGTATGGCTGGTTACCTTTTCCTTGAATGCTTCCAGTTCTGCATCAGTGATTTTCCATGGTGCTTCTCTCTTTAATTTCTCAGCAGTTGTTAAATCTTTGCAGCTTTCATGAAGGCGGTATGGTTCAATCATCTCTTCAAAGAATTTCCAGCTGGAACAGAAATTATAAAGAGACTTCACAGCAGGGCTCTAACTCTTCATTTTACAGATATTCTTAAGATCGGACAAGCTTTTGGCTGTGGAATGATAGCTGAATTCTATAAAAATCTTTAAACTGTATTTATCAGGTTTTAAGCGTGGGCATAGCCATTGCAGCACAGTAACACTTTCTCAAGCTTATCTTTGTCATTGCATTTTATATTCCATATTGGATTTATTATAAAGTTACACAGAATAATTTCACAGTACTGCAGAGTATATTCATAGTTGCATAAGCAAGAAACAGGACTTTTTTTGGAAAATGTCTGCTTGCATTATACCATAACACTAGCTTTATTTTTTTATTGCTGTTAATTGTAAGATTCAAACTCCATTCCATTGAACATAAGTGGAATTATTTCATATAAAACGTAACATAGATATCTCTGGAAATTAGTTCTAATAAATTTAACGTTGAAGTAAATTGGCTACATCTAATCCAGCGGTCACCAACTGGTGGTCTCTGGGCCACTGGGGATCCATGAGAAAATTTTGGTGGTCCGCAGAAAAATTATTTGCATTTTTATATTGCATGAAATAATTTTTATCTTAAAAAAAACATATTAGTGGTCCACAGGATTTAAAATTATGAATTTCATGGTCCCTGAGATCCAAAAGGTTGGTGACCCCTGATCTAGACAACTAATACTAAGTTCGTATAGACATTCTAAATAATGGCATTAGAAAGACTTGGATGTGATACAATAGATTTTAACTTGCACTCTACCTTGATTTCTGATAAAGTGCACTTTGGTAGCATATTTAAGCCTCTGAAAAGGCTTAACTCTCAGAAGTATAGCCAGGCGGGATTCAAATCATGTACTTACCCTTGCATTTGGGATAATAAACTACAATTCCGGCGTTCATTTAACATTTTCTAAACAAATTATAGCCTTTATAGCCATATGATTAGCCACAATTCAAGACAGAACAAAGTATCTTTCAATTCATCAAAACGACATCACAGAACAACAGTGGTTAAAGTTATTTTGTGTGCATGCGTGTGTGTACAAATGAAATAAAACAGATTATAGTTATTTAGGTAATAAGCATATTATCCTTTAAAAGAAAGGGGATGTCAATGGCTGCTTCAGGAACGCCCAGCTATTCCAATATTACCTTAAAATTCATTTTTTCTTTGGCAGTTTGCTACCTTCTCTGCAATAATAGAATGAATACCCATGATTTAGCTTGGTATTTTTTTCCTAAATGGAAAAATAAGACTTAAACATGAGCAGATTTTACATATTCCATTTTTATATGTTCCCTTTAAAAAAAAATGCACTTCTTGCTGAAGCTTACCTCTCTTTATTGGGTTTCATGTTGATGTCTCCAATTATATTAATGTCGGCAAATTTTATTCTGAACTTACTTAATAGTGAAGCCATCCTGAAAAATTAAAAAGGGAATCTGTTGTAATTCCAAAATTCAGAAAGCTTGGCTTGTGATACCTTATAGTCAGTATGCATGAGATGCAATATTTTGCTAGATAATCTTTTGCCCTGGATTGCAAAATGCAACTTTTTTACAGTGAATTAAATTAGTGCACTAAGATTGCAGACTGATATATAAAATGCAGTTCTTGCAAGACCACATTCTGTCTGCCTACATAAAAGAGAATCCAGAATACTTTTTAGCAGGGCATGGAGTCGAAACATGGACAACGAAAGTTTCTAAAAAGGAATTCTGCAATAAAATAAGCTAACCAAGTTTTACTTCTACTACCTAATGGTTACACAGTGCTTTAGATATTTCAAGCCGCTTTGCCTACATCATTTTCTTCCTTTCCTCCTATATATGCAAATACTTTTGGAAATGTGACAGAATTTATTCCGGAATCCCAGGAGGAAAGGGTCTGCATTCCAGAGGAGCAAGAGGCAACTTAATTCAGATAGTTTGTGTAAGAGAAAGAGGGTGTAGATGTTGCCTCCCTAATAATTCCTTTATGGGGGTAGTAGTAGCATATTTGAGTTCATCAAGATTCTGTCTTCAGATGAGGAACAATCATGCAATCTGCTTGGAAGAATCACAAAATGCCTTGCTTTTGGGAGCCTGACAAAGAAGCAGTAAAGGTTTATTCTCTGCATAAGGAGCTGGATTTTCTTACATCAACTATCTTCTTCAAGGCGAGTAACTTTTCCACCAGTAAAGATCTTCAGTTTGCAATCCTTCCATTTTTTCCGGAGTGTCAGAATGTAGGGAATTAAGAGGATTAACCCTAGGTGAAAAAAATCAGATCAAGTTATACATTCACACCAGTGAAGCAAATCAGAACACTGCATAATTAAGAGGAAAGAGGAAAGTATCCCCCCCACCACCACATACACGCACTAATAT